TGTAACTCATGATGTCAGCAGACAGCCAAATTTTATATTTTTCATCATTTCATGACGCTACGTTCCCGTATTTGTTTGTTGCCAATGTCTGTGTTTACGTTTTAATAAAATTAAGTGCCACATTTTTGTTTCCTTTCTTTTGTTTTGTTTTGCTTCGTTTTGTTTTTTACTTGGCAACATTTGCCAAGACATTGAACCAAGCCCCGATGCCGTTCAGAGGCCATAACCTTATCTACGGGCTGGGGGATTATCAAGAATGCGTATGGCAATGGGAATCTTTTAATATGCCAGCTAATATGCTCAGCTGTGTATACTCATATTACTCGTGTACTATATAACCACGCTCCAAGCTGATTATATTCCTAATAAGCACTTGCACATGTACATCAATTTGCATATTGTGTTACTCATTTTGCCCCCCGATTGCCACTGAAATAGTCGTCATGTTCAGCTCTAGCCTATTCGGAAATGCATGATGCCGATTACTAAATACCCTTATACATATTTTATTTAGAAAACCTTTTAAATATATTCTAGTAAGATGGCAACAAGATTTTGAAAGTTGATTAAAATTCATTAAAAAAAAAATCATTACAATAAAAAAACACTTGCTCGACTAGAGGTTACCGTGTACCGTCCTGCAAGGTAACCATTAAATTTGAAAAAATTATTCCTTCTCACAAATCAAGTAGTTAAAACATATTGTTGGCATTGGAATAATCTCTCCTTATGCGTGTTAAATTTGTAGATAAATCGAAAGTAGGCTCTGAGAGATCAAATATATACTTCCTTAGAACATTGTGAGGGTCAATATAAAAGCACCTTATTTTTTAACCAAATTGGTGATTTTCAGTTATGGCAATTATTTAACTTTTTGCACGTATGAGGCAGAATCTTTGTATAAAATGAATGTTACATTTCAATGGAACATTTTCACATTTGATCTGATATCAAAATAAATTAATTTACAGAATTAAAATACAAATATGCAGTGTATTGTTTTTAACTGAATGCTCAACGTTGCAAATGGGAATCTTCGGAGCTCAAATTAAAAATTGTAAATATTTATGTACGCAAAGTTTTTTCTTAAAAAGCAGACTAAAGTTGTCAGCGAAACAGGTTGTAGCTGAGGAGCTGCATTTGCAATGTTGTTTAAATATTTAAATTGTTTAAATATTTAAATGTTTGCATATTAAATAACTCATAATGCAGTCATAATGCAGTCCAGTTTGTAGTTGGAGATGCGTCAATCTCTCAGCTGTATGCATACGCTTTCCTTTTACTAAATGTGTGATAAAAGAGCAAAGAACACCTGGAAAATGAAAACAACGATGCCTAACCGAAAAAACAATAACAATAACAATTTGCCGCTAACAATGGTCTGGTGCAAAAAACATATACGAACGATATGCAACATTTCTTTTCGTCATGCTGCGAATGAACTACCCTAGCAAACATATGGAAGATCTATAATATATATTTTATACGATGTTGTTTTATTTATAAGCACATGTTCGTTGGATTTTAATACTTTGACAAATTGTTGCTATTTAGTATTTAATGAACGCTTTTAGTGAAGAGATTCATACATTTAAAAACCATAAAACGCCCTAAAACAAATATTGGCCAAAAAGTAAATGATTGGATCGAAAGAACATCATCGTAAAGAATATGAAAACTATGTAATTTTCTCGATTGGAAAGTACAAATTGCATTTGGTATATTTCGAGCAGTTTTAAGGTCTTTTTTAATTAATTTAAAGAATAGCTCATATTATGTCTCCAAAAGACATTTAAATATATACTAGAATATATATTACAAGAATGTTGATGCCTTATGTAGTTGCCCGTTACAAACGTATGCATAAAAACATTATACCCATCTTAACCACATTCAATGAGCTAACGGTACACAAACGTAAGCCCAGCTCTGCGTGCGGGTGGTCTTTGAGTTGCGCTCTTAAGCAGCTTAAGAGCGAGTTCAAGTTGAAGAGACGTACAGAGTTTGCGCGCAGACAAGAGAAAAAGAGAATCGCTGAAAAATAGGCCAAAGCAAAGTGCATTCAAGGGGCCTAACTTGTAAGTGTGTGAGTGTCTGAATGAAGGGAAGAAAACGACAAAACATTTAAAGTTGTAATACAAACGTTGTAATTGGCAGCGAATTGATTGCATATGTATGCACACACACACACACACACACACACACACATGATCGCATGCATATGATGCATGCAAAACTGACAAAATGTCGCGTGCATGCAAAATGTATGTCAAATATTTAATAAAAAGTGGCAACTCCTTACATGACCTACATCACTGTGGAACAGAAAGCTGAGATGCCGTATCGTGGATAAGTGTCCTCGGCTCGTTTTGCTCCTTATGCAATATTTATCGCAAATTGGCCGCACGTAATTTTTCTTTTTCTATATGATGCAAAAATACATGAACGTATGAATAATTGTGCGAAAAATAGCACAATGAATTATGGGCAAAGAGAACAAGGAGGAGAGCAAATCATCTAAATTAATTGCCAGGCGGGCGAGAGACGCCAGCGATGTCCACCAACAACACAGCGAATGATCATAGCTTCTAACTAAATGGCGGCATCTGTGGCGGCCAGACGGGCAGACCGTCTGTCGGTCGGTCGGTCGGTCGGTCAGTCTGTCGGTCGCGCAGTATCAATGGAACGTCAAAGCATTAGCGTCAACTGAAATCGTGGCGCTTTATCACGATCACGCAGCCCCGCAGCGATGCTGATGAAAATGGAAATGCTATGGAAAACTATGTCACAGTGTTGCAAATATGCATGGAAAAAACTAAAATTCAAATTGCCGCCAATGCAAGCAAAATCTATATAATTTGGATTTACTCCGACTGTAATTAAAGATATTTTATTCTCTAAAACATAAATGGACATCTCTCTCGAAAAGTCTGGCAAGGCCACAGTTGAAAACAGCTATTCTTTTCGGATAACTTCCAGCCAAATCCACTCAAAGGCGGGAAGGCTATTGGAAAGATATGTATGAAACGTAAGATCTCAAATCCCTCCAAAATCGATATTCAAACTAGAATCACATAGAGTAAATCCTAACGATAGTTTTGATGTTTAACGTACAGTTAGTTTTAAAATATATAACAGTAAAAAGCATAGTAGTAAAAAAGATAAAAAACAAATGTAAATCTAAAAACTAAAATTTGTCAACTTCTGACTTTAATAAATTTATATATATAAGTATTATTGTCTATATTTTATAAAGCGCACACGAGAATTGTGTGCATGCATTGATGAATAAATTTCACCACTGTGGCCAAAGAAGAAGATTCTCCCACCTCCTCCTGCCAATGGCTGTGGCAAGACCAAGAGAAAAATCAACATCCACACGGAACGAAAGCAAAATGTTTTTGTTGGTTTGTTCGAAAATAGATTTGACTAATAAATACTATAGGGAAAAATCGAAAAGCCAACAACAAAATAACAAAAACTAAAAACAAAATTGAAAATGAAAATTTTACTCGATCGAGCAAGAACAACATAAAACACAAACAGAAAGGAAATAACAATTAATGTGGAAATAGTAAATTGCGTAAAACGAACAAAAAAAAAAAATATACAAAAATACACACAATTCGTTGAACCCTTTCGACGAGACGTAACGGTTAAAAAGAGAGAGAACAGTTAGTGGGGAGTGGCGCACCCGAAAGGCGCCAAATGTAGGTCCTGCCCATACACAACAAATGTACATGTGAGTGTGTATACAGATACATACACAGGCGTTACAGCAATGAATGAGCAGTTGCTTCATTTTTTTTTTTCTTTTTGGTTGATAAGAAGAGAAGAATACGAGGTGTAGCAAGAAGCAGAACCCAATCTTAACAACAAGGCACGCATATAAAAATAAAAGACCAACAGGAAAAGGCCAACAAGAAAACAAGAAAAACAACACAACGCAATGTGTGGGAGCAGCACAAGGGAGGGGGGGAGGCAAAAAAGAGCGCGATGCTTTCGCTGCCTGTCTATCTGCTGTGTGCGTGTGTGCGTATATTCGTGTGCGGGTGTGTGGGTGTGTGTCGCATAATCTCCACCCACAGCGGAACTTCTATTGTTTTTTGAAGTAGGGAGTGAGCAGCAGCAGTTGAGAGCGTGCGCGCAAGCAAAGGCATCGGCATAGGGAACGCGCACGCATACACTGAAAAACGCGCCATGCAAGTTTCTATTGATGTGTTCCAGTTGCTGTTTGTATTAGTGAGCTGGCTGATTCTATGGTTGTTGTTGTTGTTGTTTTCAGTGTTGTTGCTGTCTGCTTGCATACCTACCCAAAATAAGATGTTTATAAGGACCATCAAATATTTGACACACGAACAGCACCCGTTGAGACCCATTTTATGGCTTTAATTTATTTTTTTCGCACAGTTTGCGTTTACTTTGACGGCTTTTTCACCACCGTTGACTTCCTGCCGTATGAAACTGAGAAGCTGCGTTCGCCCCTTGCAGCCTTTAATGCAATTTTTCTACTCGTTGCACTTGGACACTTTTTAAAATAATTCGTTTGGCGCCCGATTTTTCGAAATCGGTTCAAAACACTTTTAGCTTAAATCATTAATATCCGTTTTATTTCCGTTAAGCGCGTTGCATTTAGCAATAATTTAAATTTTTATTTGTACATCGAAGCAGCAGCGGCGCTCTCTCAATCGCGTCTGAATCAGTGTGACCGCTTATACTATTTTTAAAAATCCACTTAACGCTTCAATATGAAAAATCGTTATCGATTGAACAACACGTTTTTACCATTAACCAACACTGGTTCATATATTTACTCCCGTTTCATACGATAATTTTAAAATGATTCCACGTTTTGATTAGGTAAGAGTATGGCAAACCGCTATTTAACAATTGGCAGTACCTTGTTGAATATATCGATGATTGTACAAAATCATATTGTTTACTATAATCGATAGACAAATATCGCTAAATAATTGGCAACATTTATGGCTTCGCACTGTTGGGTCACACTCGCAGTTCGTTGTTTTTCTTACAGAAAAAAACAGTAAAAGAGTGCAGAGAGAAATAGTGAAAAAAAAATGGATTATTAGTAACAAATCTGTAATTGAATAATCAGTGAATTGTGCATTACCCTGCAGCTATTTCACAAAAATTCAAAATGCGTACACAAATTATGTAGCTGCTGTGGCTTTTCCACCAAATCAAAAGAAAATCGGTACAAAAGGAAAACAAAATACACAGCCAAACGCGAATGTAAATGTGAAGCACAGGGCAAAGTAAGCACAAGCAATCCCCCAAAACAGGCGTCCGCTCACAGCCGCCCCCACCCCCACCCCCAACCAGTGGTGCCACAAATACTGTACACCACAACGAGGTGCACTGAATTCGAAACAGGCTGCTGCTGCTGCTGCCGCTTGCCTCTAAGTTTTAAGTAATTAAAGACCTGCACCCCGATACCCCCGCCCCTAACCAAGCCATCAATATACACATGCCCCCACAGTGAGTGCTTGTGTGCGTGTGTGTGTGTCTTGTAATTTCGTTACGCAGTGGAGCGGTGCGGCAGCCGTTCAAGTGAAGTCTAAGCATTTTGTATACGAGAAAAACATATAAGCTTTGCCTGCGCTTTAAGTTTTGTTGTTGTTACGGTATTTGATGTTGTACATATAAAATTTCACAAGTGTTGCATTTGAAGCCAGTTGCGGGGCCACTTCTCGCTTTGAGCCAAGTTGTTGTTATGCTTTGCCAGCATGTGTGTGTGTGTGTGTGTGTGTCTTGGCTAAAAACAAAAAAATACATTGAAGTAGTAAAAAAAACCAAACAGCAAAACTCAGCAACTTGCTTTGCATACATATACATAGAAAAACACATATGCATATGTATTTGTATGAAGTGATGACCATATAATTAGTGATATTTTTTTAATCTCAACTTAATGTTGCTGTAAAGCGAATTTACTTTACGTATAGCTGTGTTTATTAACATGTCAGTTATGAATTGATAAAAATAATGCTTACAGAGTATGTGCACAGAAAGCTTAAACAAAAAAAAAAAAATAGTGTTCCTAATTATTTGGCCCACACTGTGTACATTGCTTTTCGGTTTTCCGCTCTGCGTTTGAGCGTGTCTCATAAGTAAATTTCACTTTCACCTTCGATGTGGGCAGTTTATAGTTGCGTCCGAGGCTGACCAATTACTTTGTACTTGCTGTTAAAATTTGGCGAGTTTTAAATTAGAAAGTGAACTCTTTCGGCGTGTTTGTGCGGCTTCTTAATTTGCGTACATGGACATGCCCACACCTTGCTCTTCTGTCTGTCTGTATAATTTAATTGTAATTAGCCCCATTCTGACCCACCAGAAGATTGCGTCTAATTATCTGACTGTCTGACCGTACCCGTTCCCTCGCTCTGACAACTTTAACAAGCGTGCAACGTGTGGGAACTGTTAAATTGTTGCATTGAAAAGGGGGACACACATTCAGATATTTCAATCATTTGCTCACACACACACACACACACACACACACACACTCCCATGCACACAGACAGCATGTAACACTTTGCATTTCGAGCAAAGCACATAATATAGAGCGCGCAGCGACAACATGCGGCAACATCAACAATAAGTGGCAACTAGGAAGTTGTTGGCAATTGTTTCGCTGTTGTCTAGTGCTTCATTTCTCTATTGACGAACTGCTTAATTATCATTAACAGCTTGCTGCAAACAACATTAACAGTAACATAACGTTAACATAGCAGAAGTGCAACAACCCAACAACAGCAGCAGACGCAATTACATGTCATATTTTGCTAGACGATGATATACCCTGTTTTTTTTTCGCATATGCTTAAAAGTATGCTATGCATACATTACAAGTTTGGTACAGAGAATTTGGGAGCATCTGTCTGCAATGTTGTTGCTATTTGGCTTCAAATAGAGTTTGTGAAAGTTTCAAATAAGATTTAAATATATTAATGTACAATTTACATGTTCGCTCATTCAAGCATATTATAACAAAGATCTATCGTCATGCATACCCTATGAGCCTTTCTAATACAATGGGTATCTAAAGAGCTGATTAAGGGGGAGCCATGTGTGAACATGCCATAGAATTTCTTGCAATAATAACAATAGACCGCAAGTGGGCAAAGCATAACAGAAACTAGGTAATACTTTTATAATTTATTCTAGCTACTTTTTATGGCCTTCTTTTTTTTGTGCTGAGATCCGTTTTTATTTTCACACACTGGCTCTGTTCCGCTTTCGTAGTGGGGTGTAAATCTTGGGCCAGCATGAAAGTTAACCTTTCGGTTGATGTTTTGGGACTCTAAGGTCTTTCGAGCGTTAAACGTGTATTCAGCATAAATCATATAATTTGTTGTTTGTCTTTTGATTGAGTGTGTGTGTGCGTGTGTGTGTATAACTACTGTGGCAGGGCAGCTGTTTAAAGTTGTAGCAGAAACAACGGCAAATAGATGAGCGCAAACAAGGAGAAATAACAAGAATAATAGCGTACAATATTTGGGGTTTACCAAAGCAGGTCTCGAGCAGACCGCACCGCAAGCTTATCACTATTCCAATAAACCAAAACAAATTTCAGTTTCATTGCAGCCAGCAGCGTCGCAAAGACAACAACCTAGCAGCAGCAGCAGCAGCAGCGGACGGAGATAAGCAGCAACGCAGCAACGCAGCAGTGGCAGCTGCACGCACTGATAACAATTGATAGTGATTGCCGAATACCCGAATACTGGTTCCGATTCAAACCGCGTGTCTCCTGCGCAGCGGCAGCGGCCACCTTCTCGCTTATCATTGACCGAGCATGTCGCACGGCAGCGCCGGCGCGCAAACTGTTGGCGGTGGCGTTGGCGGCGGCAGTGTCGGCGGCGGCAGCTTGGGCGGAGCAGCAGCAGCAGCGGCGGCAGCAGCAGCAGCTGGCTCTGAATATCGGGAACTGCATTGGACTGTGTCGAGCGTGATGGACTCCTCTCGCGTATCCACCTGCCTAATATCGATGCTGCTGATTGTTTATGGCAGCTTTCGCAGTCTCAACATTGAGCAGGAGGCGCGGGAGCGAGAGCAAAAGAAACGCAATGAATCCATGACGAATCTGCTAACTGGCGAGCATGTCGAAAAGGATCCGAGTAAGTCAACATCACATAGCTTCACTTCCTTACTAATCGGATGTCTATATCATATAGGTCGACTAATAATTAAATTGTTGTATAACAAACTTTTTAGTTTTTCAATATAAACTAACCATATCCCAGCCATGTTATTATATATCATATAGATCTATAGGAAAAGTAGGGAACATGACAAGACAGCCTTTCTTGCTAGTTTTTTGTAATCTTTTTTTATTTTCGTTTGTAAAGTCTTATCCCTGTAAATGTTAATATATTTCAATTAAGTTCAATTATTAGAAATATATATAAACCAATTCTGATGCCAGAACCGATTATTTGTTATTTGGCCGAAATTTTCTATAGAGACTTTATTATATGAAAAATCATTTGAATTTCCGTAAAAACAATTTATAATTCAAGTTCAAGGCTCAGTTTAAGTAGCTTTATATTGGTTTTAAAATTGACTTGGGTTTAACAATTTAATTAGCCTGAAAAAAAAATTGTAAATAATAGATATTAATTACCTCCACTCTGTTGCAGCGGATAAGTTTGCCACGTTGGATACGATGCACGCGCTGTGCCTGCCACTGGGTGCTTCCATATCGCTGCTCATCATGTTCTTCTTTTTCGACTCAATGCAGCTGCTCTTTGCCGTGTGCACAGCCAGTAAGTGGAGCATGTTATGCTTTATGCGTCCATCTGCTCACATTATGACGTATATTCACAGTTATTGCCACTGTGGCGCTGGCATTTCTGCTCCTGCCCATGTGCCAGTATATAATACGTCCCTGCACGGATGGTAAACGCTTCTCCTTTGGCATCTGTGGACGTTTTACGGCAGCGGAGCTATTTAGCTTTACACTCTCCGTCTCAATTGTGTGCGTATGGGTGCTAACTGGGCACTGGCTGCTTATGGATGGTAAACAAAATGACAGCATCTGGAATTTCAGTTGAAACGCATTTAACTATCTATTCGTTTTAGCCATGGGCATGGGTCTGTGTGTCGCCTTTATTGCGTTCGTGCGTCTGCCCAGCTTGAAGGTGTCGACGCTGCTGTTAACCGGTCTGCTGATCTATGACGTTTTTTGGGTATTCCTTTCGTCGTACATATTTAGCACAAATGTGATGGTCAAGGTGGCCACACGACCCGCCGAGAATCCCGTTGGCATTGTGGCGCGCAAATTGAATTTGGGCGGCATTGTGCGGGACACACCGAAGCTAAATTTACCGGGCAAACTGGTTTTCCCCAGCATTCACAACACGGGCCATTTCTCGATGCTCGGCCTGGGCGATGTGGTTATGCCAGGTCTACTGCTGTGCTTTGTGCTACGTTATGATGCCTATAAAAAGTCACAGGGCTTTACATCGGACCCAACACTATCACCGCCAAAGGGTGTTGGCTCCAGGTTGACATATTTTCATTGTTCCTTATTGGGGTAAGTGGAGCGCAAGTTTTGCTGGAAGTAAATGATTTTTCAATTGAGTACTCGGTCTTCCTTAGCTATTTCCTCGGTCTGCTAACGGCAACGGTCAGTTCGGAGGTCTTTAAGGCCGCACAACCCGCCTTACTCTATTTGGTGCCGTTCACGTTATTGCCACTGCTGCTGATGGCCTATTTAAAGGTATGTACAATTCGTCCTACTACTATAAATTATGCTCTAACTATTATGTCTTCCATAGGGCGATCTGCGACGCATGTGGAGCGAACCGTTTATAGCGCATCCACCATCAAAACAATTGGAAGTCTGAGTGTACTCTATCTTAAATCAGAATTAATGAAAAACTTAAAAAAAAAAAGAAAAACAACAACAACAACAAAAACGAGAAAAACAAACAGAAAACAGAATATGAATTCTCTCTCGATAACCTACGTATTGTTTACTTATACGTATCAAGGTTTTTTTTTAAGTTAGGTGATCCACTTTTTAGTGAAGTAACAGCAAAACCGAATAATAAATGTACGTAGTTTTAGTATAAGTGGGAAAGTTTTTTTGAAAACCACACACACAAATGTACATGTATGTATATGTTAATGTAATTTCTTTACGCTTTACGCAACGCAAAGCAAAAATTAGATACAGTTTATGCTGGCCGTAATATTCAATTTGTTGCATACGAAAGATTTCAGAAGCGCTTCAATCTCAAACAGACTCAAGCTGCATTCTAACTTACATACTAACCTGCATAAGCTATAGTAAGGGTTGAGTATTATAGTTGTTTTTTCATTTAGCTACTACTGTTGAGATTTAATTTTCGTTCATTTAGACTTAATGCATTTTCAACATTTCCAATTTCCACATGATCAACAAGCATAAATTCGCAAAATTTCAAATTCGAATCAATTATCAAACTGTGTGACAATTTCTGTAAATACTTAATTTTAATATCACAATCACAAATAATAGTTAGTAAGTGCGCCGCATTTTCACATTTCGATTTTCTTACAAAAAACACATTTGCGTCCCCATTTCCATTATCTGCATTCGAATTTTTCACACATACATACATAAATGATATTTTGCCAAAATGCATGTGTTCGTTTTAAACAATAAATATTAAATGGAGAAAAACAAAGAAACAAAATATAATGTTGCACTCGCGTGTTTCACAAATTAAGTTTCGAGAATTTTAATTATTTATAACGATCAAGCAAAACTAACAATAATACATAACTATAAATATATGCATAGTAGTTACATTTTAATTGTAAGTAAATGCAATTTCGAAACATATAGAAACAATAAAAATGTGAGATTTGAACATAATTACTGGGTATTCAAGGTCTGACTACTGCGGCTGTAATTCGTTTTTTGTTTAATAGGGTGAAATTGCGATAATCTATTAATTCGTATTAAGCAATATTGGGAATACAAGTTTTTGGGAATAAACATCAGATCTAATAATATCCCTGCCCGAAAGCAACAGTTTGGTATCTATTAATCGAAAATTCAAAATTGCGCCTAAAACGAAAAATACTAAACAGCTAATATTCGACTAGTCGACTTATTCGATAATTAGGGCGTACTGGAGGTGTGCCGATAAAATTATAAATAACGATTGATAATATTGGTGGTGTCTGGACGATAGACGATTATATTGCGTTGTGTTTTTCTTCTGGAAAATAAATTTATATTAGAAGAAATAGTGAATAATTGCAACAAAAAAAATAAGTGAAAAACCTCATGTTATAGTTACTGTGTTCGTCTGTTAATGACTACATAAACAACGGGCAAATGTAAGTTGAATCACTACAAAAAAATTTAATGCCGAGAACGAATGTGTAGGTGTGCTGCGCACACATACACACGCTGAGCGTAAAACAAGTTGCATTTCAATAACAAATTGGCCAGAAATAATATAAATGACTTTAAAATTGTCTTTTCTTTGAATCCGCTGACTCCAGCTTATCATCAAATTTGCAAAACAAAAACAAAACAGCAGACATCACACACCAACACGCATACTACATATTTCATATGTATGTGTGTAGAACGTAATACGCCTACGCTTAACGTAAAGTCCCACTTACTATAAACCGAGCACGTAAAAGCAAACACGCAAAATGAGCAACGTAAGCGCAAAATGAGTAACGTTGCACATTTCAGGAGCTTGTTCATAAATACCCAATGGGAACTTGATCAAAGTGCCGCGAAGCGTAATACATATGTAAACCCATCAAGGAATTTTCAGAATGTTAGCGAAATTTAAAGATAAATATGTATTTCAAGTAAAATGATTGAGATATTGATATACTGCCTATAGAGTGTCGTGCTTTTAATTCTTATTAAAAGACGTCTCGCACATAGTTTTTGAAGCATACCTAAGTGAGAGATTCTATTTTTTCTGTTTTCATACAATTAACAACATCATTTAATATTAAACAATTGATGTGCAAAATCCTTGTGGCTAAGCATTAGCAGTTTTTTGTTCATATATCTCGTCTAAAATAATAGATTTATTAATCCGAGAATTCATCTCGATTGCAGCACCACGGATTTCAACTGGGTAACTCTTGCATCAAACTGAATCTTAACGGGAATAGCGGGCCGGAGCCGCGCCACCACCCACACAGACAACAGCAGCAGAGCTTTGGCCACATGGGTGGAAACAGCGCAGCTGCCAATTCGAACGCTTTCAGCGCCGGCGGTTACATCGGACCGACCACAAGTCTGGGTGCCGCCGGTGGCAGCGATTTGATACCGGCGCCAATGGGCACTGGCACTGCATTGGGCAGCACATCCTTTGCCTACGGCGGGACTAGCTGGGAAGAGTTTTGCGATCGTCATGCGCGAGTGGCCGCCAGCGACTTTGCCAAAGCATGTATTAACTACATTAATGGTAACCTGCCACCGGAGGTGGCTCGCAGTATACCGCACCGCAGCTTTGCTGTAAAATTTGTCGAATACTTCTCGGAGCACTACGATACAGAGTTCTTTCGACGACGCAGTAATCTGAAGACAGACATTGGATCTCTGCTGTGCGATGGCGGCGGTGATAGCGGTGGCGGTTTCGATACGGAGGAGCACGAGGTGTCGAGACTGTTTCCCAAGTCGCTGCTGCGGCGCCTCTCCTTTAAGGGACTGCGCAAGGGCAAGGTGAGCGTACTCTGAGTGGTCGATGCTTAGTAGGTTGATAAATCAATGTTTAATTTTAGAAGCTCTTCTTTTTGCAGGCGTTCTTTCACAAGAACTCGGACGACGTGGATGGCGTGGGTAGCAGCAAGCAGAGCAGCAAGACGAAGTTGGCCAAAATAGTAGTCGAGTGCCGCAAGGAGGGCATTGTCAACAATTTGACTGCCGAGAGCTTGGACCAGACGACGGCCACACAAAAGTGGGAGAAATGCCGCCTGGCACTGGTCAAGGCTGTGGGCGGCTATATGCTTGAATTTTATACGCCACCCAAGGCACCAAAGCCACACAGCGGCGTCTTCTGCTTCCTCATCTCGGAGGCACGCGAAACAACCACTCTGGAGATGCCCGATCGCCTGAACACGTTTGTGCTCAAGGCCGACAACAACATGGAGTACGTAATTGAGGCAGCGAGTGCCGACGAAATGCGCAGCTGGCTGGCCACAATACGCTATTGCATGCGCACACCGCCAACACAGCAGCCGATCCTCAATTCGGATGTCATTGCGGTGGCCATGCAGACTTCACCGGTGACTACCAATCCGAATCCAACAACAAGCACGCCCAGCGGTGCATTGGGAGGCATACAAAATCCTCAATATCAGCAGCAAGGTGGTCTTGTCTTGGGCGGCTCCAATGGAAATTTGGTCAGCTCACAGTCAGCGGATAGCGCCTTGGCCGCCATCTCGGCCAGTAATAGTAACGCGAATGCACCTGCCGGCGGCAATGATGTGAATGCCATTTCTCAGGCTAGCATCGAGCTGAGTAGCACGCCACCCGAAATACCATCGCGTCCATCACGAGGCGAACGGGGCGAACAGCGTTTGTCGGCCTCCAGTAATTTCGATGGCACTGAGCTGGTTGAAACAGAATCCGATGTGAATGTGGCCGATCTGACAGCGGAGATGCGTCTGTTTCCCTGGTTCCATGGCACGTTACCGCGTGCTGAAGCCGCACGCATGGTGCTGCAGTCGGAGGCAGCGGGCCATGGTTACTTTTTGGTTCGCCAGAGCGAAACACGACGTGGCGAGTTTGTGTTAACATTCAATTTTCAAGGACGTGCCAAGCATCTGCGGCTGACAATCTCCGAAAAGGGCCAGTGCCGAGTGCAACATCTATGGTTCCCCACCATACAAGAGATGCTCGAACATTTTCGACACAATCCCATACCGCTCGAGTCGGGCGGCACATCCGATGTGACGCTCACGGATTGGGTGCATCACACCAGTAGACTGAACGACGGAGCACCCATAACAACAATTGCCGCCGCAGCGCATGAGCCGGGCGCCGATGCGTCCGCTGGAGCGAGCAACGCTGCCGGCAGCTCTGGCCATGCAAATGGCAATGGCAATGGACATCCATCGCCGAGACATGTGAGATAGCCAAAATTTTGGAGTCAATTCAGTGTCAGTGATGGTTTTTATTTTCCTTTATTTGATTTTGCAAACTTTTTCATTTCATAATCAAGAATCCATTCCGATTTGGTCTTCGAAACTCATTACAAATTAAATGTCGATTGAATATTCAAAAGTGACCGCCCAATGGGTAAAAATATACAAAAATTGTCCGAAAACTTCTTCTATACATTTCCGACAATAGGTAACATCAAGTTGTCCGTCTACATAAAATCTATGATTTGTGAGACTATAAGAAAGTTAACTTCACAGTTGGGTAACGAAATTTAACTGATCTCAAAAGTTGTGGATAATTTAGTTTATGTTCATTTGAAAATGATTTCTTAAGTAGTTCTTTTTGGGACACACACATCTTTTCTTTCATGTTCATTGTGTTTAGTTTGAATGCGTTACCAATTGTTGCATGCTTCATGTTTAACCTGTTAACCTAAAAAGCAAACATTTGAATTGTTCAACGAAATCTAATTGGGATCTGCTTTTGACCATTTACAGCGCAACGAAGTGATTACCATGAATCTAAGTGTTCGCCTAAAGACAAACGAAATCGAACTGCCACAAGAGCCAACACACGTCTATTTTCCGGAGCAAGTCTACTTTCATTTGGATCCCTCAACGCTGACCGTGCACAATTCGCCACCGGCAGGTCAAGGTTTTCTAGATCAGCCGCACCTGCGTGCATCGAATGCTTCACTGCAGGCAACCCATCCGGGCGTGGCGACGACACGCCATGCCGCTGACACCACGGGCGCCAACAGTGGTGCACCCGGCAGCAGCGGTAGCGGTGGAGCAACTGGAGCCGAGTGCAGCGGACGCGCCATTGATAATCAGTATAGCTTCACTTAGGCAAATGTCGCCAGTGGATTGATTTTGAACTTCTTGCGCGGAATTTGTTTTTTATTTTTTGTTTTCGTTTTGTGCCATTGCATACAAGCAGCAGCGAAATTTCTTTTGTATTTGTTTATAGCCTTTTTTGTGTATCCTTACTTGTGTTTGCTAAAAGATGTGTAAGTCGTATAATTCTTGTTTCTATTAGTTTTAGAGCCTTTTTGGAAGACATGAAGTAACTGAATATTATTACGATTATGATTGTATACATTAAATAGCTAAATATGTGTGTTCATTTTAAGTAAATATGTAAGTGTTGTATGTATAACAAACAAACAAAAAATTGTAAATTTGGTGGCACCAAAGGTGCAACATTTGCGAATCCTAAAACTTCCTGCTTTACAAAAAAAAAAAAAAAAATACATACATATATACATAATATATATAGAAAAAAATATATATATATCTATATACATATACTACACTTATAAAACCATATATATATATATATATTTAAATTATATCAAAACTGATAAACTACAATAAATGAAGTTATATGAATGCAAATGGTTTAAGTTACGCGCGTTACAAATAACATTTTCGTTATCGTCATTCTCTGTTATCATCCATGTTAGCTGAACAGTTAACATTTTCACTACATTTGGTTTCCTGCGATCGGCTTGTTTTGATGATTTGGAAGGCCATATCTCCGCGCGGAGTTTTGTCGTTTTGGAACATCACATCTCCC